TTTAAATTTTTATTTTTACATTTTTTTTTCAAGTCTTTTTAATTACTACACCCTCTCTAACAAAAAAAAAAAAAAAAAAGGAGAATATTATTACCTTAGTACGAGCCATTGTTATAAATTTAGTTTATTAAAAAGAGAATAAAAAAATTTGAGGAATAAAAATTATAAATTTTTAATGGGAACAATTAGTTTTTTTTTTTTTAATAGTGTTGGGAAAAACTAAAGATATTTTTATTTTTAATAAAGATAAAAAAAAAACAAAGTTTGTGTAAAGATGAAATTTAGGTAATTTTTTTTAAAAATAAAAAATAAAAAAAAAAAGGAAAATTAAGGGTATATGTGAAAAGTTGAAAAAAAAAAAGCCTCACTGATTACAATTATTTTAGATTGAACATTGGATGTCAAAAAATTTTAGGGGTCAAAAATTTAGTATCCATTTACCATGCCCCTGTCTAACGTGGGAAAATGAAATTCACATTCGTAGATCGTATACCCATAGCATTGAAAACAGCAAAGGTTTTTCTATTTTATGGGTTTTTGAAGAAAACAACATAATTAATATTATTATTAATCAGAGAACAGATTTATGTTGTGGTCACGGGATCTATAAATTTCCTTGCAGATCTTTATTTGACATGCACTAATATTAACGACGTGTGCTAGTTAAATTGATCTACTGGTAATTGATGGTGAATCGAGAACTTGTTGCGGAAACAACAATATTTTACATCCTCAAAGTAGATGGGGGTTTTTTTTTCAAAGCAAAGGAAAAAAATTATATCAATAATAATCTTCCTATCTGCGCAGGTAAAACTTTTCCTATGAAATATGTTGATGATCATCTCGCAATTAATCAATTAATCATTGTAATTAATAGGAAATAATAATAAACTTACCTTCATCAGGAAAACTAGTGGCAAACAATTTACGTATTATATTCTGACTTAATGTATTATTATGTATATTGTGCGTTACCCTGTAAAGTATTTTCCTTGATCGCACGCACTACAATATAAAAGTTAAAGATTAGCCGAAAGTCAAGCTGGAGAAGTATCAATGCTATTTCTCACTATACAAGTCACTCCCGTTATAATTAACAAAAATCAGAAATTTTAAAAAGTTGCATGTTAATTAGATTCTTATGACTAATATGAAAAGTTATCGTGAAATCGCATGATTTTTTAAATTGTTGAATTTTAAAATCTTTTAACTAAATTCATATTGGTAGCCAGCTCCATCGTACAACTACAAGTGTTTAACCACGTATGTATTATTTTTCTTAATATCAACGATAATTTTAAATAGAATATTTTTAGTTCCATCTTCTCAACCATTTATTTAAATCACAGTGATAATACTTATATATAAAGCTCGATAAGTCGGTCATTTATTTATATTATCGAGTACTTTGAACAATCGATTGCTGCGTCCGATTTATCGAGTTTGCATGTGTAATTATAAAACACTTTAAGGTTGTAAATGTGGTTAGTTCTAAAAAAGTGTTTTCAGAGCTGCATAAAGCATTCAAATCCTCTCTAAAACAGAACAAGATATCTTCTTGATCGCCTTAAAAAGAAAAGAAGGTCTCTTGGCCTTTTCAATTGATCGAGTAATATTAACTAATCCGGATTTAGGTGTTCAGACAATTGACATTATGCCACGTAAAGTTTCTCAAAATCGGTTAACATCACGATTGTACTACTAACAATAATCATTAGCTTACATTTTCCTTATGTTTTTCAGAAAAATTAACAGAATCAAATTAATTAAAAGCGAAGAAGGCATCAAAAATCAGTAATAATATTTATCTAAAAAGAACTTCTTGATCTGTCAGTTTCGACATTAATTCAATCCAAGTGGGAAGACAAAGGATCAGATAATTCTTCAGTTTCATGGATAGAGAGATAGTAGCTAAAAGAATAGATTTTGATAATCTACTTACAAACACCATATCATCATCATCATCATCATCATGTTAAATTCTTTGCATCGTATCTTTGTACAAATAAAGAGTCTACCACGAGATTTGATGGATAATAAACCAAACTATTACTATTATTATTGTATCGTTATCAACATCATCAACATTATCAAACACCATTATCATTAACATTGATTTGGAAACAGTATTAAATCATCTTCCAATAAATGTAATACATTATTTTAAAATTAATGTTTATTTTGTGCTTATATTATTTGTTATCGCTTCAACAATATTTCATTTAACTTGGTCGTTTACACCATGGTTTGCAATTGAGGTCTACTGGCATATCATATTAATCATATTTAATGCCACCAAAATACTGGATCTGATCCTGGTTTATAATGATAGTGATTTATTTTCTTTTATTGAGTTGAATATGCTTGTGTATCCTTCATTCTTGGAAATTAGATCCACAATAGCCATATTTGCAACATATAAAATTGGTTTTGTGGCCACTTTGCTTTCTCTTTTGAATTGCGACATGGAACACTAATACTCAGACATTGGGAGCTTATCTAAGAAAAGAAAGGATTACCTATGAAATTTACCAAGAAAGAAAATTCATAACTAACAAAAGAACATTAACACTGAACCACAAAGAACCCAAAAAGAAAAGAAAATTGAAATAATAATAATTTATCACTTAGGTTAATTTAAGTGTATGTAAGCAATGTGTTTATTGTTTTTTAAAGATTAAAAAAGTATAAATAAGATTTATTTAGTAAAATTATAGATATATGATATTTATTTATAATATAATAAAAATAAAATTAATAATCAATTTTGTATCTAGATCAATTTATTTTTTTATCAATTATTTGAAAAACTTCAGTTCATCAAATTCACTATGATCTACTATCATGATGTCATTATATATTCTTGAATCACTATCACTATGTATTTGACCATTCAATCTTACTTGCAAAAAGCAAAGCTTGCTTCTCATGATTGAGCATTGTTGAAACTATTCTTAATGATCATAAATTTGAATTTTGTTGTTCATAAGGAGTTGAAATATTTTTCCATAAAGCTTCAGGAAATAACATTTGATATGGTTTAATTTTGAATGATAATGATTCCAAATATCAATTTCTTCTAAATCCAAAACATCTTTTTTTAAAATAAATATGAGCATCAGTTCTTTGATATTTTTATAATCATTGGATTTTAGGAGACATGATGGTGTATTGCTAATTAATTTTTCAATATGGTCATTGAGTATACCAAGTGATTGATTATTTGATGAAATTTGATATAAATAATTTAAAAGATCCAGCCTCCATTCTTTTTCATTTGCAATCAAAATGATTTTGTACATCATCAAGTAATTCATTAAAATCAGATTCATCAAAATTTAATTCATCACATGCGGGGAAGTTGAACAAGTGCCAACCACACAATCTCTAACCATCACTTTATTAAAGATCATCCCATCATTAAAACAAATCAACCCTGTTCAACAATTTCATCAATATTCAAATTGTCCATATCAATAATTCCATTGTACATGTACCTTTTAGAAAAAAAATTTTTAATAATTTTAGATTTGCCATATAACTAATCAAATTAATCAAATTAAATTAAACTAATATTACATTAAAATTGGTTTGAATATTTTTGGAGATATATTTTTTTTTTCAAATAAAATGACACCTTCTTCAGATTTGTTCATCCAATTGTTTGATAAAGCAGCTCTGAAGTATGAAGATCTTGCTTTTAAAATAACAGAATGGGCTTTGAAGGTTTTAGCATCATCTTCCTCTCCAACTGTTATTTCCATATTGTAAAAAAAAATCCAATAATCTTGTTAAATCATTAATAAGTTTATTGGTATGTTTTGATGGTAATGTTTGTTTGATTTTTGTTTTTTCATATATATTTATTATTTTTTTGCCAATGAGATTTTTTTAGAACTAGAGTTGTAATGCATTACCAGAATAACAGGTTATGATAACTAGAGTGACGACAAGTGGCGATAACCACCACCACCATATACGCGTTAAAAAAAAATGTATCTTGGGCTAAACAAGTTTTGTGCCCTATTTTTCACATGTTTCACAACATAAAAAAGATCAACAATCGATTTTATCACCAATACTAATGTCGATCAAAATAGAATAAATTGTTAAATAGTTATTGTGCGTTGTCGTCAATGACAGATAAATATAAATAAAAAAAATTTTTTTTCTTTTTTTTTTAAAAAATTCGAAAGAATTTATTATTTATCAAAATAAAAATAAAAAATGACAGATCAATCGATATTCAATCGATTTAATTCAAATGAAACACCGTATGTTGCTTTCCAAGACGATAACGATGACAATGAAGAAAACGATACATCAGACAGTTACATTTTACAAAAAAGACAACGACATCAACATAATCCCTCATCAGCTTCTGCCTCATCATCACAAAGACCTAATACATCTTCCCGTGCACCAGTATTTCAATAATTTTTAACAAATAAGCAAAGATATCAACAAATACCTACCAAAGAACTTGATGAAGATTCAGACATTGATAGTAATGAAGCACCGCCTTCTTTGATAATTGAAACGCCTCCTGCTCAACAACAACCACCACCATCACGTGCAAGGTCTATTGCATCTCATAGATCTGGTGGGGGTGATATTAAAGAACAGACGATGTGGAAATGGGCTAATGTAGAAAATCTTGATGTGTTTTTTGAACGTGTACTAAACACTTTTTTAATTACTTCTCATCGTTTCTTACCATTAGTCGTATTATGGATATTGTTATTAATTCAATTATTATGAAATATTAGGTTTATGCATATTATATTGGAAAAGGATTATATTGTATTTTACTAAGTAGATGTTTAAGTTTGTTGTAAGTAGTATTGTTATATATTTATCATTATTATTATTATCGTTATTATATTATTCACATTAATATAAATATATTATAGAACTATAGCATTTGTTATCGGATTTTCAACATTTTTATTCGGATGTGTAGATTATTCATTAGTAAGGAATAGTAAAAGTTTATCGCAAGTAATAATACCAAATTGTGTCAGTCGGTATGTTGTAATATTATTATTTACTATAAAGTATTAATTATATTGATTTTATTATTAATTTCTTTCTGAAAATTTTTTTTAAAGAATGTCAGGATTTTCAAAGCTGTTCCTTCTAGTATTTAGTGGTTTTTGGATTATTCAAGTTGTTAGATTTGTATTGGATATTAAGAAATTACTCGACATGTACAACTTTTATACTTATCTTCTCGAAATACCAGATGCAAGTATAATTTACTAGAAGAATATTTATTTTGGTTTTGAAATTTTTTTTTAATACTCCCTTTTATTAATTTGCAGGCTGACATGCAAACAACATCCTGGCAAAAAGTCGTTAATCAAATAATAAAAATCAAAAAAAATAATCCAATGACATCAAACACTAATCAAGGTTCTCATGAACGTTTAGATGCACACAATATAACAAATAGGATAATGAGACAAGAGAATTATCTAATAGCTTTATTTAATAAAGAATATTTAAATTTAACTGTTCCTATTCCATTTATTGAGCGAAGACAATTTTTAACCAAAGCTTTAGAATTCAATTTAAATTATTGCATTTTAAATTATGTTTTTAATGATCAAGGACAAGTCAGAAAAATATTTATTAAAGATGGCAAAAGAAACGAGTTAATCGAAGAGTAAGTAACCACCTGTTTAAATTCCTGATAAAAATTAATTTTAATTATTAATATTAATTTTTATTTATTATTTGAATAAATATTAGGTTAAAATCTCGATTTATTTTCGTAGGAATTATCAATTTTATATTTGCACCTTTCATAGTGGTCTTTTCGTTGATTTTTTTCTTTTTCCGTTATTTCGAAGTAACTATCAATTTATATATATATAACATTATTATTATCATTATTATTAAATTTTTATGATTAAAAATATTAGGAATATAAAACAAATCCTGGTAATATTTTTTCTAGAGAGTGGACATCATATGCAAAATGGAAGTTTAGAGAGTTCAATGAATTGCCACATTTATTTCAACAAAGATTAGATAAAAGTTATAAAGCTGCTAACAAATACAATGATCAATTTCCAAAAGAAAAAACGATATTGATAACTCGGTAAATATTTTATTTCGCCATCATTATTGTTTTTCTCACTGGAAAAGTAAGTTAATAAACTAACAAACTTTATTTTATTGTTTGTTACAAATTAAATAAAGTTTTGTGCTTTTTATTGTCGGATCACTTACAGCAGTATTGTTGATAGCTTCATATATAGATCCTGAATTATTTATTAATTTTGATGTAACACCTGGTATGACGGTATTTTCTTATACCGGAATCTTTGTGCCAATTCTAGCCATTAGCCGCGCAATGATTCATGATGAACACATGGTTTATGAACCTGAAGCCAGATTACAAAAAGTTGTCGATTATATTCATTATTCGCCTGTTAAATGGAAAGAAAAGTTACATACCGATGAAGTAAATAATAGTAATAATAATAATAATAATAGCAATGATAATAAAATTAATATTTTAATAATCTTAAAATTTTATTTTATTTTATTTTATTAGGTTCGAAAAGAATTATTAGAATTATTTGATTGTAAAACGACTATTTTTTTTCAGGAAATATTCAGTGTTATCTTGACACCCTTCATATTGTGGTTTTCACTTCCAAAATGTAGTCATATCCTTTTTTGAAATTCAATCAATTTATTTATTTAAAAGAAAATAAAATTTTACTATATATAAATATTATTTCTTTAATCATTTATTTTCTCAATTTTTTACAGGATATTGTAGATTTCTTTCGTGAATTCACTGTGCATGTTGACGATATTGGTTATGTGTGTAGTTTTGCAGTTTTTGATTTCAAAAAACATGGAGATGTCAAGGTACTGATAACAATTATTCATAAAAAAGAAATTTCCCGCAGAGTAAAAAATCTTAACTAATATTTCTTCTCTCTGATTGTATCTTACTTAGTATGGTGCACCAACAGAAGCACATAACGAGTATTATGTTTCAAAGGATGGGAAGATGGAAAAGAGTTTTTTGAACTTTAAAGTATATACATTCTATATATTCTATAATAATGATAATTGCTATTATTATCATTCTTTTCTTTCCCTAATATTAATATTAATATCCTTTACTAAAGGCAAATCATCCGGATTGGGAACCAACTGATCCAACAGGGTCCTTATTTCTTAGTAAGATGGCTGATTTTAATAATCAAATCATTCAAGAGCAATATGGTCATCATCAACGATCTTATAGCACTAGTAACAATATCCGTAGTTCTGTGATGGATTCCATACTTAAACCTCATAATAGAAAAGGCAGTAATAATGTTCACTTTGAAATACCCAATAGCAACGATTATAATAATATATCCTCATCGTCAGCAAGATATTATAACAATAATGATATGGACTATACTGACGCTACAGGTAATTAATAACATTAAACAATATTAGATTTAATAATGTCAATATTATGAACATTATTAACATTATTATTATTATTATAGATGGTTACGAAACTTCTACAAGAGACAAAAAACCATCTAATGTTGACGACGACGAAGAAAATGTTGCTACTGGATTTGCAAGTGAATTGGGAGATTCATACCTTTTAACTGCTAATAAAATAAATAATACTATGAATCAAATGTTCGATTCAATAGAACATGAGGACAGACCACGTAATGGAGGTGTAATGGGTTTATTAAATCAATTCTATGATCTCAATAATTCTTCTGTGTAAAAATATTTTTATGTTGAAAATTTATACAAAAAAAAAGGACAATTTATATCAGTTGAATATTTTTTCATTAATTTAATTTGTTTTTTTTTTTTTTTTTTAACGAGAACATTTAGAATTTTTTAATTTTTTATATACGCACGCACGTGTATACATTATATATAGATTTTATTAAACAACTAGGATCACAAAACTTTAATATATTGATCAAGTCTTTATCATCATGCAAGTAATAAAAAAATCTTTATTAATAAAAAAAGTACTAAAATATTAATCTATTTATTTTATTTATTATATTATGTAAGTAAATAGTGTATAAAATCATTTCTTTTTATAAAGGAAAAAATATATTTATATATTAAATTTCTTGATATTTTATTTTGCCATTAATTAAGTAATAAGCAATTGATAAAGGATTTATCTATAGCTAAATAAACTACTTAATTCATTCTTTATTTATATTTTTTTAAAAAAATATTAATCGATATTGCAAGTAGAGAAATATAAAAATTGACTTTTTTTTGGATTTCAAAGCAATATAAAATCCTGCGTAAAAATTTATTTATTTTATATTCAAGCTATTTAAGACCGTTCTCCACGAAGACGACGAGCCAATTGAATATCCTTGGGTTGGATTGTGACTCGTTTGGCTATAAAAAAATAAACAAATAATTAATTAATTGGATAATGATAATGGTTATGTAAGTGTATAATATTTGAATTATTTACCATGAATGGCTGCCAAATTTGTATCCTCGAATAAAGAAACTAAATATGCTTCAGCTGCCTATGATAAATCATAAAATCATAAATCACTATCATTATTAAACATATACATGTGATATATGTGAGCGAATGTATGGCAAAGAAAACTTACTTCTTGTAAAGCACCGATAGCACTTGACTGGAAACGTAAATCGGTTTTGAAGTCTTGAGCGATTTCTCTTACGAGACGTTGGAAAGGTAACTTTCTGATCAAAAGTTCAGTACTTTTCTGGTACCGGCGGATTTCACGTAAAGCCACGGTACCTGGTCTATAACGATGGGGTTTTTTGACACCACCAGTTGTAGGAGCTGATTTACGAGCTGCTTTGGTAGCAAGTTGTTTTCTGGGCGCTTTACCACCAGTACTTTTACGTGCAGTTTGCTATAATTTACATTTATATATTTAAATTTTTTTTTCAAGTCGTTTTAATGACTACACGCTCTCTATCAAAAAAAAAAAAAAAAAAGGAGAATATTATTACCTTAGTACGAGCCATTGTTATAAATTTAGTTTATTAAAAAGAGAATAAAAAAATTTGAGGAATAAAAATTATAAATTTTTAATGGTAACAATTAGTTTTTTTTTTTTTAATAGTGTTGGGAAAAACTAAAGATATTTTTATTTTTAATAAAGATAAAAAAAAAACAAAGTTTGTGTAAAGATGAAATTTAGGTAATTTTTTTTAAAAATAAAAAATAAAAAAAAAAAGGAAAATTAAGGGTATATGTGAAAAGTTGAAAAAAAAAAAGCCTCACTGATTACAATTATTTTAGATTGAACATTGGATGTCAAAAAATTTTAGGGGTCAAAAATTTAGTATCCATTTACCATGCCCCTGTCTAACGTGGGAAAATGAAATTCACATTCGTAGATCGTATACCCATAGCATTGAAAACAGCAAAGGTTTTTCTATTTTATGGGTTTTTGAAGAAAACAACATAATTAATATTATTATTAATCAGAGAACAGATTTATGTTGTGGTCACGGGATCTATAAATTTCCTTGCAGATCTTTATTTGACATGCACTAATATTAACGACGTGTGCTAGTTAAATTGATCTACTGGTAATTGATGGTGAATCGAGAACTTGTTGCGGAAACAACAATATTTTACATCCTCAAAGTAGATGGGGGTTTTTTTTTCAAAGCAAAGGAAAAAAATTATATCAATAATAATCTTCCTATCTGCGCAGGTAAAACTTTTCCTATGAAATATGTTGATGATCATCTCGCAATTAATCAATTAATCATTGTAATTAATAGGAAATAATAATAAACTTACCTTCATCAGGAAAACTAGTGGCAAACAATTTACGTATTATATTCTGACTTAATGTATTATTATGTATATTGTGCGTTACCCTGTAAAGTATTTTCCTTGATCGCACGCACTACAATATAAAAGTTAAAGATTAGCCGAAAGTCAAGCTGGAGAAGTATCAATGCTATTTCTCACTATACAAGTCACTCCCGTTATAATTAACAAAAATCAGAAATTTTAAAAAGTTGCATGTTAATTAGATTCTTATGACTAATATGAAAAGTTATCGTGAAATCGCATGATTTTTTAAATTGTTGAATTTTAAAATCTTTTAACTAAATTCATATTGGTAGCCAGCTCCATCGTACAACTACAAGTGTTTAACCACGTATGTATTATTTTTCTTAATATCAACGATAATTTTAAATAGAATATTTTTAGTTCCATCTTCTCAACCATTTATTTAAATCACAGTGATAATACTTATATATAAAGCTCGATAAGTCGGTCATTTATTTATATTATCGAGTACTTTGAACAATCGATTGCTGCGTCCGATTTATCGAGTTTGCATGTGTAATTATAAAACACTTTAAGGTTGTAAATGTGGTTAGTTCTAAAAAAGTGTTTTCAGAGCTGCATAAAGCATTCAAATCCTCTCTAAAACAGAACAAGATAGCTTCTTGATCGCCTTAAAAAGAAAAGAAGGTCTCTTGGCCTTTTCAATTGATCGAGTAATATTAACTAATCCGGATTTAGGTGTTCAGACAATTGACATTATGCCACGTAAAGTTTCTCAAAATCGGTTAACATCACGATTGTACTACTAACAATAATCATTAGCTTACATTTTCCTTATGTTTTTCAGAAAAATTAACAGAATCAAATTAATTAAAAGCGAAGAAGGCATCAAAAATCAGTAATAATATTTATCTAAAAAGAACTTCTTGATCTGTCAGTTTCGACATTAATTCAATCCAAGTGGGAAGACAAAGGATCAGATAATTCTTCAGTTTCATGGATAGAGAGATAGTAGCTAAAAGAATAGATTTTGATAATCTACTTACAAACACCATATCATCATCATCATCATCATCATGTTAAATTCTTTGCATCGTATCTTTGTACAAATAAAGAGTCTACCACGAGATTTGATGGATAATAAACCAAACTATTACTATTATTATTGTATCGTTATCAACATCATCAACATTATCAAACACCATTATCATTAACATTGATTTGGAAACAGTATTAAATCATCTTCCAATAAATGTAATACATTATTTTAAAATTAATGTTTATTTTGTGCTTATATTATTTGTTATCGCTTCAACAATATTTCATTTAACTTGGTCGTTTACACCATGGTTTGCAATTGAGGTCTACTGGCATATCATATTAATCATATTTAATGCCACCAAAATACTGGATCTGATCCTGGTTTATAATGATAGTGATTTATTTTCTTTTATTGAGTTGAATATGCTTGTGTATCCTTCATTCTTGGAAATTAGATCCACAATAGCCAAACTCATTAAATTAAATTAGTTAAAATATAAATAAACAAACTTTGTTACATATGAAAATAAAGATTTAAACTAGAGCTTGAACCAATGGTTTCTAACATTGCTCGGGGTTCTCTAATAATAATACTTACTGTTTTGCATCCTCTCTGACTGACCCCGTTTTTCTTTTATTCTGTGTTAACAATGACAATTTCTTTTTAAAAAAAAATTAGAAATAAAAAGTGACATGTAAAAAATATATTATTTTAAGAAGGATAGTGTACAAAGGAAATCTCTTTTTTTTTGAAACGCGAGATGAAAAATTCGACATTCATAAACACAAGCTTAGTAGCAAAATAATGATTGCAAAGTCTTGAAAAAGGTGATAAACCAACGAAAGCGAATAATTTCAAAGTTGATATTTTTCTAAAATTAAAACAAGCTAAATTAATCGGTTATTTATACAGCATATAGTTAGTCCAATAATTATAAAATCGAAATATGTTATGTGCCATCAGATGCTAAATTTCTTAAAGTTGCTTAACATTAAATTTTTAAATGGGGTAGAATCCATTAATCCAAATTAACGAATTTACTAATCTTGATTCAGTTGCAGCAGTTGAACATGTTAAGAGGCTTTGGACAGGCAAGAGACTTTAACAGTTTCTTTGACAACAACAATGCAAATTCAATAGATTCCAGAGAAATACCAAGGAAGATGAGGGCAACTATGATATTTTAAATATTTAAGCCTTGAAGTAATACACTTTAAAAATACCCAGATTGTCTAAAAGAAAAAATAATAATTGAACATTTTAAAAAAATAATATTTATTAAATTAATTATATTATATTACATTTTTTTTTAATCCTTAATATTATTCATTATCATCATCATTATTTAAAAAATTCATAAAAAATTCATTTTTTTTCCCTATTAGTTTGTAAAAAAAAATATTTTATTAGATAAAATTCAAAATGTATAAATTATATTTTGAATGAATCTGATTGATGACGAAAACACGCCATTTTAAAAGTTTTTTTTATTATTAAATAAAAAAAA